CTGGAGATATACACTGCCACTTTTCTTTTCTTTTTCGTGTTTTTTTTTTTTTTTTTTTTTTTTGTAGTTAACGGTGTCGTCTTTTTTTTGTGGATGACGATGCTGACGTGTCAATATTACGTGTCAGCAACTTAGCAGCCTCACAGCTTTCCCTCTTCCACTGCAGCTGTGGCGGCCCATGGAATTAAAAAAGGTGTATTGACTCTTGCGTTCATGCTGTGCTGCCATTCAAGTTGAGCTTGACCTCGAGCTTGGGCAGTATGGAAGTGTAGCGACTTCCTAGTAGCTACTTCTACTACTTCCTAGCTACTTCTACTACTTCCTAGCTACTTCTAGTACTTCCTAGCTACTTCTAGTACTTCCTGGTAGCTACTTCTAGTACTTCGTTTTTTGGTGGACGCTACATTCCATAAAAAGTTCCGCGAACATGATAACATTGGAAGCAAGGTATGCGCAGTTTAGGTTCACGTTCTGTCGTTCTTCTATGCGTGTCCACTGTCCTCTTCTCAGTGTTCTCACATACTGCGATTTACTGGTTATGGGTTGGCCTTCTAAGCAAGTTATGCGGAGTTTAGGTTCGCGTTCTGTCGTGTTCTTCTATGGCTTGTTTTGTTGGCTCTTGCCGGCCTTTTATTGCCGAATTCCCACTCGTTTAGCTGAGATAAGAAGGGAAGAAATGGGTTAATAACCGTTAATTACGTAGCCTCGGACCTCGGTCTACGTTCCGTCACACCACAGTAAATTCTGAGTTGGCCTTTGTCTAACCACAGTTCAATATGTGAGAGCTGCAGTCGTGAGAGCTTAGCGATCGTGTGATTCGTGTCCACATGGAGAAGAAGTTACTAAGTAGTTAGGTAGCTAGCCCATAGGACTTGCCACAGTAGTGGCGGCGCATATACGTTCATGTTAATGATGTTATGTACACGAAAGGAGAGAGAGAAAGAGGACTTAGTACCAACATGTCCGACTCGGTGTAAGGCTTCCTTTTTCCGGAGAGAAGAAAGAGGAGTTAGTGCCAACATGTCCGACTTAGTTAGTGCCAACATGTCCGAATCGGAATCGGAACGATGTCGTTGAGGTCGTCTAGCGGATGACGTCGTACCCGAAGAGGAGGACCGGGTCACCGTGTCGTTCACGTTGGATCAACTAACTGGGATCTCAGGTTGAGAAGTCCAGCACGTAATAATATAATTGCCGGCGGACAGGACTCAGGAGGAGGAGGATGTAGTTTACGAGTGTCGGGCTGTCGAGCTTTGGCGGCATGCTTTTCGGACATTGGGCAGACCTTCGAGGCTTCGACCCTCCAGGGAGATGGCTCCCGTTCTGCAGCGAGCTTGAACAGCGCCTAAGGACGTGTGTGTTTTGAGTACTTTTACCCTATTGCCTCCTCTTCTGTTCAGGAGAGAGAGAGAGAGAGAGAGAGAGAGAGAGAGAGAGAGAGAGAGAGAGAGAGAGAGAGAGAGAGAGAGAGAGAGAGAGAGAGAGATTTCCTCGCGGACGAAAGGATGGTGTGTAATGGGAGGACGTTGTGATAACGACCAAGCGGGGGAGTCCGAAGAGAGTATGAAAGGTTTTGTGAGAAAAGATGGGCGGAATCCGACGGATTGTAGTATTCTCGAGAAGCAGTCAACAGAGATGGGGAGAGAGTTGGAGGTGCTATGAAAAGGGAAAGGTAGGACTTCCATGTGCTCTGGACATGTGGAACTTCTCCACCGACTTGAGGGCGAAACCGAGTGCTAAGTCCACAGCTCAGCTCAATTCCATGTCCTTTCGCGAGACCCGAGGAGAGCAGACGTCGAACAGGATGAGAACGAGCAGAAGGGTAGCGATGAAGATGCAGTGTACGACGAGAACGAGAGCCGGAACGACAGAGCGAGCACGACGACTGGCCAGCATGTTGGCTATGGCGATGATGATCAGGTCGGCTGCAACTTTGACGGGAACAAAGCCAGTCAAAGCCGGACATTCTTCCCGCAGGTCGGCGTTGGCAGCAGCAGAACTCAGGAACGGATCATTACCCAGTCCCCACCTTTCTCTTTCTCCTCCTCTTCCTCCTCCTTTTCCTTCTCCTCCTCCTCCATCTGACGTACCTGCAGGAGGAGAGGTAGGTCCTGCTCGCAGTCCGACTTTTCTCAGGCCAGAGGTCATGAGCCTTGCCGGTCAAGCCTCTATTGTAGATTGGGATCCCGGCTGTCAGATCGTGGATCTGGATCTGACGGAGGATGGCGAGTCCTTGTTCTTCACCGTTAACAAGCGGAGCTCAGCAAGTCAACGCTCCTATGTGAGAATCGCACCGATCTCCTCTCTAACGCCTACTGGTAGTTACGACTCAGGAGGAGGACAGGACAACCTGGACAAGTCATCGGTTGAAAGCAGCTCGTCGGCTGCACCTGTCGCTTCTTCTTCTTCCTTGTCTTCACAGTCTTCTCTTTCCATCTCTCTGCGCAGCGACTACACTCTCCCCGTCCCTTGGTCGTCTATCGCCGGGAACCCCAACAACTTATCTAGTGTAGGGAGCATAGCATTCTTCGCTCGAGGCACCGGCATGTTCGTTTCAGACGCAGTGTGGCCTGGCCTTGTCAGGACAGCTACTCTGGACGAGAGCAGGTCTGTTCCATTTGACAACGTGATGGCACTGTTCCCTCTCTCCCTCAAATTTGATCCTACGGCTAGCATCCTGTACATAGGTACAACCAACGGCGTGCTGAAGACGTCAACAGATACAGAGGGCAATGCTGAAGCCGTAGGAAGGGTGGATACCCTCTCAGGTCCGGACCCTTGGCCTTCGCTCAGCTACGGTCACACTTCGGATATTGACATGAAAGGGTATCGAGAGAGTGAAAGTGACCCCCGTTCTGCCCGGTTCAATTGCCCCATGTTCTTTCAAAACAGTTTGTCAGCAGACGGACAGCTGCTGTACGTTGCAGACAGAGAGAACCATTGCATCCGGGTCGTCAATACCAGCTCGGGCGGCACCAGATTGCTTGCTGGCTCTCCTCTCCATCCTGGGTCAGGAGATGGGATCCCCTCCACCGCACTCTTCTCCAGACCCTTCGGGGTTGCCCTCACACCCACCGGCTGCGGCCTTTTCATAACTGAGCAGGCAGACGGAGGCCGCCTGCGTCTCATCACCTTCGATCGGCCCAATGGGACACCCACACGTGTAGAGACCATCCTGATAACCCAACAAGACTCATCCAGCATGGGAGGAAGCCCTGTAGGGTCCCCCTCCGGGGGCTACACTGCCTTAACCATGAGTTCGAACGGCGAGTGGCTTTACATGGGATCTGATTACGGGAAAATCTACCGGCTGGCTGTCAATGCATCGTCGTCAGCTTTTGGCTGTGATACTAACCCCTCCACTTCGTCCTCGCCCACAACTGCAAACGCAGCGCAGGGAGGTACAGACCGTACGCCCCGTGCTGCTGCTGGTGGGGATGGAGAGCAAGGCAAACGAGCAGCCATTGCAGAAGGGCAGGAGAGTAATGCTGCATCCATGGCTTCTTCGGATTCGAACGCAAACCTTGAAGGAACAGTGAACAACTCAACGGGGCACAGGACGGGCAAGCGGAAACCCAAGTTATCAAAGACTGCTGCCCAGGCCTTAGGCTTGGTACTTGGCCTCGTTGGGGTCCTAGCACTCTCTGGACTAGTCTATGCCTCTCTTTATTGCCTGCAGTTCCCAAGCAAGTGCCATATGAGAGGCATTCGCAAGTGTCTGGTCCCCATACGGTCCATACCCACTCTTCACAGGAGGCTTATCCGATCTCGATCCAGCTTCAGCTCGACCATCGAATTCACTAACACCATCGACGTGGAACGCCCTCTGGCAGCCCAGGGAAGTGGAAGCAGACGTGCAAGCGGAAGAGGAAGTGGAAGTGGTGGGGCTGGGAGTGGGAGTTCGGCTGTAGAGTCGACAGGTGGTAGCCCTGGACAAGCCACACGGTTCTCGTTTGCGTCGTTAGCGGCTGCGTGTGATAATTTCTCACCCATCAACGTGATTGGACGAGGAGCAGCAGGGGAGGTATACAGGGGGTTGTTGGGAGATGGTAAGGCGGTGGCCGTGAAGATAGTGAAAGGGGCGATTTCAGGGAGCAAACTCAGGCAATTCCATGCAGAAATCAACGTGCTCAGCGCTCTCAACCACAGCAATCTTCGCAACATTATCGGCTATTGCACAGAGAGGAACAGGTGGATTCTAGTCTATCCATACGTGGGAGGGGGGAGTCTGTACGACAGACTGCATAGATATAGCGAGGAAAGGATGGACGCGGAGAAATGTGCAAACTTCAAGGACGACAGCGAGTCAATGGATGGAGAGGAGGAGATCGAGATAGAGAAGTTGGGTCACTTGGGGGTCCCGTTGGCAGGCGAAGAAGACGGACAAGGGCTAGGAGCGGGAGGGGGGAGAGCAGCAGGAAGAGGAGGAAAAGGAGGTGGCTTTGCAGGTCGAAGGGGAGGAAAAGGAGGAGGCAAAGCAGGAATCCATGGAGACTTTGGAGGGAGAGTAGGGGTTGGAGAACTTGGGGGAGGAGGAGGTCCAGAAGTAGAGGAAGGAGGAGGTCCTTATGCTAATGGACATAGTCAGGTGTCCTTAGACTGGGAGATGAGGCTACAGATAGCTGTTCAAATGGCTAGTGTTATGCGATACCTTCACCATGATGTGGACCCTCCAGTGCTGCACAGAGACGTGAAGAGTAGTAATGTCCTGGTGGAGACGTGTGGGGGAGGGCGGAAGGTTCGCGCTTACCTGTCGGACTTCGGATTGGCTAGATTGGGTCAAAGCGCCTTTGACCTTGAGGCCGGCGATGGAGCTTGCAGGAGCACTGTTGACACGCGTCATGTGTGCGGAACCTTCGGCTATATGGCGCCTGAGTACGTAATCACAGGGCGATTAACGACAAAGAATGACGTGTACGCGTTCGGGGTTGTCCTATTGGAACTGGTCAGTGGGAAAAGAGCTTTCTTTGAACTAACTGCGGCAGAGCAGAAGGCAGAGGAAGAGGAGGAGGAGGAGGAGGAGGAACAAGGAGAGGGAGGGGGGGAGGAGGACAAGGAGTCAGAGAAGCCGCGCCCAACGGGCAAGGAGTACCCGAGTCTTATCCCAATGCTGATCGAGGAGGACCCGGACCATGGAGGAGGAGGAGGTAGGACGCTCGTGTCTTGGGTGATGGACCAGGTTCGTCGACGAGGTAAGCATTCTCTCAGCCCAAAAGTGATGGACATCATCGTTGACAACAAGCTGAAGAAGGAGTGTACGTCCTGGAATTCCATCTATGGCGTCATGCGTGTCGCTCTGGATTGCGTACACCGTGACGCAAAGCAGCGGCCAAGAATGGACCACGTTCATCAAAGGCTCTCGCGGATTCTCGAGGACACTAACAAGTGGAACAGCTTTGCCAAGTCCAGATCGAACCGTTCGGATGTAGTCAAAGCAGCTGTGAAACCCGTCTAGAGATTGAACAATGAACATGGTTTACAACTTTGATATACTGTAGTACTATAATTATAGTAGTATAGTCTTTTTTTCTGCATCTGTTTCCGTTTTCCTCTCGACGCTCTCGTCTTCCCCACAACTCTTCCTTTTTCTCCTGCTTTTGCAGCAGAAGTTTTGCTCCTTTTCTTCCTCTTTCCTTCCCAGGCCTTCTCTCCTCTTCCTTGCACTGGGATGTTTGGTTGTTTAAAACACAGAACATTAAATTTTTTGTTTGGTGGACGTTCGTGACCGCCGTTTTCAGTGTTGCTGTCATTTTGTTGATAGGCATCCTAATGTTGTGAGACATCGTTTCATCAACTTTCATGCAGATGCCAGAAGGTGCTTGCGAGAGGGGAGTTAGAGTCTGTTAGACTGCTTGAGCACCGGGTGCATCATGCATGGCTCCTCCCAGACTCGCCGTTCTCACTGCGGTAGTGGTCTAGGATTTTCAGAGCTCTGTCGTCTGAATATGATACAAGGTTCTCAAAAGGTGCACCGGAATTGTGCGTTTTGTTGGCTACACATAACTGTTAGTCAGGACTCAGGCGTACTCAGGGAGAGAGAGAGACACACACACACACACACACACACACACACACACACACAGAGAGAGAGAGAGAGAGAGAGAGAGAGAGAGAGAGAGAGAGAGAGAGAGAGAGAGAGAGAGAGAGAGAGAGAGAGAGAGAGAGAGAGAATGTGGATTAGAAGGATAAGAGAATATGATGTATGTTAATACACAGGAAGTTAGGAGACTAGTACTACATCGCCTACACGGGTCAGCGATTGACGGTCTGACCAAGCTAAGACAAAACTGCGTTTTCTTTATATTACAGAATTCTGTGAGGGGGAGGATTTGGAGCATTTATTGTAACGAAGGGTCAGTGAGTCACTAAATTCAATTTTGCGAAGTAAGCCAAATACCTACCTACTGTGTAGATGAATAGTGATCACTCCATGGATCGAATTGACAGACAAAATAGATACATAGATTGGAAGAATAGATTAATAAAGTGCTAGACTGATCAAGCAGCATGAAGCTTTTTTTTTTTTTTTTTTTTTTTTTTTTTTTAATGCTTATCATAAAAAGACCAGAACAGATACTACACTTGATCTTAGCCAAAAGACTGAGAAAGGCACAAGGCTACAAGCATAACACTTCTAGTCCGTTGGAGTCCGTCGAACATCAAGTCTTCACGTTTCTCCCCCCCTTGCAAGTTAAACTTTAGAAAAGTTAAGAAAACAGCTTCTGAGTACTATCTCTGGTGTCTTGTGAGTATTGGGAGAATTTGGGACTACTGAAAGTCTGCAAGGTAAAAATTAATAATTATGATCATTCCGTTTCATAACTTTCATTTCGTTTCGCGTGTGCAACGTTGAATTTCAAATTGAGTATACAATGCCATTTGATTCAAACTTCAAAGTGCAAGACTCCCATTAATTTTGCAGTTGTCTGATCGTATTTGGTTCAGTATCAGATTCTGCAGTAGCCTGTGTGCCCATTTGTTTTCTCAGTATATGTGTACTATTATACTATATGAGCTTTTGGCGAATTGGCACCTCAGCTTAATGGTTCTGGCTCCATAGTAGTCCATATCCATTATTATGAGGTGCATCAGTCCGGTTCCGATTCCACCATCAAATCAGATCTGATTCAGAGCACTTTGAAGGTCCACACACGCAGTGACACGCTTCCGCTGCTTCCCCTCATTTTGCATTCTGCACAGGTATGTCTATGTCTATGTG